GAAAAGGAAAACCCAAGAGTTTGGTTTCCCAGCCGCCGAACTAGCGGGTAAGTGTAGCCAAGGCCCTACTTTTTCAAGCTAATGATAGCTGTGTGTATGTTAAAGCCACCACATTGCGAGATATACATTTTAATCGCACTACTGCTGCAGGCAATCATATTATTTACTGGCCTGTGGATAGAGTTTTACAAGTAGCCCTTAGGTACCAGATACCCTTTAAATGGACTAGTTTAGTACCTGATTAATTTCAAAATTTGCTTTCACTGTTACCAGAGGTTCAAAGAATCTCTGAAGTACAAAGGCAAATTCACATAGAATATGAATATATTCAAAATATATATCAAGTTGAAAAGAATGCCTTTCATACAGCTCACAGAGTGTCTACTTTGTGTACTAAGTATGATGTATTGTGCTTTGTGACTAAAACTGTACAACAGCCCCATCATATTATTACTGTGGGAATGTTACTGCTTTTATTGTTGTTATTTGGTTTAGGATTATGTTATTGATCTTGTAAAGGATGTGATAATAGTAATACCTTTCATCCCCATGCTAATGATGCATTGTCATTGCATCCAATCAAAACACCTAAGCTTGAAGCATTTGATATAGAATATGAAATCCAAGGCTTAATGCAAATGGAGGTTTAAGAATGTTAGTTATACTAGAAGTACAAAAGGGGTGTGTGTGGAAGTAGAGCAAGAACTGACAGGGAGTTGAAGGGGGTTTCAATGCATACAGTCTCTTCTGTGACCAAGAGACAAGCTAGCTGTAACCCTAATAACGCGAGATTTGTAGAAGCGAGGATTGTGTGAGGCGACTGGGAAAGAACTATGTGAGAAGTTGTTGCGACCTTGTGTAGATAAAAATGGAATGTAGACTAGAGTCTAAATAGATGTGAAAAATAAGCTATCAGGATGACCTATGCATAAACAAAATGCAGCTGTTGCTCATTATTGTCTGTAACAAAAGGTATAAATGTTTGCTGTAATTGTTTACCTGTGGAGAGACCTGCCTAGGAGGGGGAGACCCTGTGTCCTAGTGCACTCTCTCCCTCTACGCAATTGCTTGAGAAAATAAAGTGTCTGACTTTGCTGTACCCAACCAAAAGAGTGAGAACTCTGTTTTTCTCCGACAGGGTTTTGTGTGGCCCTGGCTCAGCCAGGAAAACTAACGTCCCCTCTCCATCCCTTCTGCAGCCCCCCTCTCCTGGGGAAATGGGGTCAAGTGCGCAGGGATTTTCACCCAGGGTCAGGGCACGCGGTCATGGGGTGGGGGTTTATTCCACTTCCCCTACCCAGCGATTATGAGATGCTGGGCTTGCCCTACTACTACCGCCCAGCGCTATTAAAGTGCCCCAATCCGTTCTCCGGCAGCTAGGTGGGGGAGAGGGACAAACCCCCGCACCCAGACCTCGCTTCACCGCAGGAGTGGCAAGTGGGCTGAACAGAACAGGGTGACACCATTGGCCCAGGACTTGTGGCTAATCCACCACTGGACCAAACCAGCCCCCACTTGGCATGCCCCCATATGTGGCAAGAGACCAGGGAATCAGTGCTCCAGATCGGCAGGAGAGGGATACAGCTGGGCACCAAGCTGGAGTCGGGAGTCCCAGTTTGTGGATTGGGTTTGGATGCCAGATGGGTGGGCCCTGGCCGCCCAGGCCCACCGATGGCTACACCCCTGCTTCGACCCAGCCTAGTTTCCCTGTGTCTCTGAGAGCATCTTCCCATCTCTTTGCTCCTTTCTTGTAGAAGCTGAAACCCGTGTGAGCCTGGGCCCTGTCACCATAGAGTTCTGTGCTCAGTGTGTTATGGGGTCAAGGTGTGAAGTTGACCTTTGCCCTCAGACTACTCTCTGCCAGCCAGACCGTCTAAGATGAGGCTCCTGTTTGCAATGGCTTCCAAACACCGGTCTGGTGACTGTGTGGAAACTCTCGGCATCCCCGTGACACTCCCTCAGTCCCCTCTGAAATCCTCCTCCTTATTCCTTGTTCCTCATGGAGAAGGGAAGGGTCCTCCCCTAGTGGAAGAATCCAAGTGAAATTTCCTTGTGGAATCTCCCTTCCCTGGTCTGCACCTTGGGTTTGTAATGCAGGAAAGGGGACTGCCAGGGAGTAATCAGGCCCCAAATTATAATTCTATTCTATTTTATTTCAGCAACATCACAGCTGTGACAGCATCATCATTACCACTCAGCCGCCCTCGAAGTAGCCATGTCACTAATCAGAACCATTCGAACAGTGATGACAAGCCCGGATTCTAGGAATGGAGCCTTCAGCAAGGCTGGCGCTGCAGTCCAATAAGTTGCATCACCCCACGTCCCCTGTGATTTGGCCTCCTGCAGTTTGCCATTGGCCATGACGGGGGTTAAAGCTGGTGCACCTGAAGCCAAGCAGCTGAGATTCTCTGATGGCCAAGTGGCCCCCAAGGGAATGTGCAAACATGCTTCATAAAGGCAGCTACCTCCCAATCTGAACAGATACTGTCTGCTGCCCATGCTACTTCTGTGATGACTCCTTGTCCTTTAGGGTGAAAACCTGGTGTCAGTGGCTCCTCTTCTAGCAGCAATTGGGTACGTTGGCAGGTTTCACTATCTTTACAGTGTAAAGTGAAGGGTAAAGGCTGAAAGCTATTAAAATCTGAAGATATTCTGTTCCACCACAGCGAACGCAGCTGCGCTGTCAGAGTGACTCCGTCACAGGGGTAGGAGGACAGGCAGCAAGGTGCTTAGTGGGTTATTCAAGTTACACAGAAACCTGAGCTTGGAGTGCTAAAAGCCTGATGCCCCAAGTCAGGATTTCTCAAGGGGTCCCATTTCTACAGGTGCCGTGTGCTCTGGGCCCGATCCTGCCAGGGACTCAGTGAAAGGAGACCCCAACGGTATATCAGTGACTAGTTCTCAAATCTACTCAGGTTTATTTGCTCCTGGAAATTTAATAACCAAATGCATTTAAAAAGCTTTTATTGTCTGGCTTGATTGTGAAGGCAGGATTTCAGAGCTGCATTGCTATGTGGTAACAGGTCCAAGAGGGCATATTTTGCCCTATAGTTACTACAGTTACAGGGCTACCGGCATCTCTTCCACCTCTCTGGTTTCTGAGTTTCCAATGTCAGGCCTTGTAGCCTTCACGCTCCTGGGATGGATCCCTCCATTCTCCCAACTTCAGACTGTGCACTGGGCTACAGAACACTGTGGGTCAACTGTGCTTGTCGAGCAGGTCCGAGTGGGTTCAGCACCTGTGGTTGACATGTGTGTACTAAGGTACATACGTGTAAATGTTATGCCAAAACTATTCATTGCAATACAGACATTACAAACCAAACTTCCATGCCATGCCTCTATATCGAAAGCCAGCAGCAGAGTTGTTAGAATCTCGGACGGAAGGAGCAGGGGTAACTTTACTGTTTAATGGCTTTTGCTTTAGAAAGTGTTTCAGAAGTGCTCCACGTACTGTTTGCAATTGGTTTGTGCTGTTAACTCTTTGTTCAGTGCACATTTGTGTGATACTGTCTCCTGGTAACGGACTAGAAGCTGTTTCTAACACTTATATTCAGAATCATGCACTCAATAAGTCTGCAAGACTTGTGCAAGACTTTCCAAAAAGTCATGAGAGACCAGAACTGCTGGTCTGTGTTTCAGCAAACAGTTTAGCTGAGGTGCAGGAAAGGAGAGTGGTATAGTGGTTGTATATAATTGACACCAGTCACCAGTTACATGAGCATAGCCGAAGTTGTACATTCAAATGGATATTAGTGCAATACCTCTGTTTGAGGAATTGAACATTTGTGATCCCACCTCCTCCCCTGCCCAGCTGAAATAACTGTCAGTGTTAGCTTGTAATTTTCCAAATATCTACCGACACTTGCATGGGCAGAGGATACAGGTCCCAGGGGTATAAAGGGAAGCCTGTAGGATGATCGAAGTCTCTGGATTCCATTAACATTGGCCAGGCACTTCAGCTTCTCCTGGAGGGTTCTCTGGGGGCCAGAGTAAATCACTGGAAGCATTTGATAACAGTGAGTTAATAGAGCCTGGTTTTGAGTGAATTTACACATGAAACTCTGGCATGAGGCTCCTGATATCACTGTTATTCAATTAAGGATCTGACCCTAAAAAATTATCCCATATGCTGGAAAGAGGCAGTTGCATAACTTGAACTGTCAGGGGCGCACAAAAAAATAATTCATGTAATGAAGCTATAAAATACATTTAAAAATAGCTTCAGTGCAGGACAGATAAATACGACTGTTTTCACCATGCACTTGCTATGTGTTTACACACATGGCATGATACAGTGGGACACACTCAGAAGTGGAGGGCCAAAAAGAGTGTCTGTGTGAAGGGTATAACAGAGTTCAAAAGAGAACTACATAAATTCATGGACG